CGCCTTCCCCCGCCCGGGAAGGGGCCGGGGGGGGGGGAGGGCTGGCTGGTGCGAAGCTCTCTCTCCCCCTCCCCCACAACGACTTGTCTGCTCTTTTCTCTTCTTCTGAATTGCGCTAGAAGGGACCGCAGCCAATGAAATGAAAATAAAAGTCTAACAGACTTGATTTATCATGAGAGAATTTTCACCACAGAGCTACTTTAAAACAATATGATCTTCCACCTTTCTATCTTCACGCACAAAAACTGCATTTCAGGAGTTCAGTCTTCAAGATGAATGGTTCATTACTGCTCCTGAAACCATTGATCATAGTTGGAAGTCTTTCTGGCTGTTGGAAGTAATATCCATGCATGGATGAAAAATGAATCTGTTCCAGTTTGCTGTAGTGGTTAAGTGCGCGGACTCTAATCTGGGAGAACCGGGTTTGATTCCCCACTCCTCCACTTGCAGCTACTGGATGACCTTGGGCAAGCCATAGTTCTGGTCAGAGCTGTTTCCTCAAGGACAGTTCTGGAAAGAGCTCTCTCAGCCCCACCCACCTCACAGGGTTGTGGGGATGGGAAGGGATGGGAGTTTGTAAGCCTCTCTGAGACTCCAAGTGAAGGGCATTGCTCTTCTGTATTTCAGACATTAAAAGCTAAAGATTTATTTGAATTCTATCTGATTTCTGTAAATAAGGTCTTGATGAATGCTGTATAGATAACACTTTCTTCTCTCTCACTGCAGATAAGAATTTACAGTTCCACATTATTAAACAAGCCACTGTTACTGATAGTGGAAGTTATTGTCCAGGTAAATAGAAGTTGCTGTGTGCTTGGTCTCCACCACCAATGTCCTGACACAAGCTGGAGCTGAGCTTGCAGAGATCTCCCAAGTCCCATTCTCGGTTCCTGTCTAATGATTGCTTTGAGTGCTGGAGAACATTCCGATATGGACAGTTCATCTCACTAACTTTTGTATCTCCTCTCAGAGCATCGTAGAAATATTTGCATATCTGAAGCACAGTCACTCATTCTTCACTCTTACTTGCAGGCAAGCCTGGCCCATGGCAATACAGCCAGGCTGCGAACCATCCAGCACCATTATTTTCAGTGTGCAAAATTTTGTGTTAATAACAGTCTCAACCCATCTCACATTAGGATTGTCACTGCACCCATTTGACAGATAGAGAACTGCTTCTGGGAGGCTGTGATTTGCTGAGGTACAGATTGAACCCAGCTGCAACTTGTGTAATTTGCATAACTATGTATAGGTCTTCTTGCCTGGCAATGCCTGGACATTGGGCAAAAAGTGGAGAACCAGATTGGGTTGGGGGTGGTGGTGTCACGTAGACATTTTAAAGAATTTTAAAACAAATTCTTAAATCCCATGTGCTTTTCATAATGCTGGTGCCGGGACAGTTGAAGACAGCTATCAGACAGGATGCGTGTGCTTAACTTGCCTCCTGTTTATTGTTTGGAAATGCCTCATCTGCAGGTTTCCCCCCTCAACTGGGGGGAGGCCTGGGAGCAGGGGGGTTTGCCAAGAGAGACTTTGTGGAAGAGATTAACTATACCTCCATCCTGCTGACTTTCCTCTCCCCCCCCCCTCGATTTGTTATCAGCAAACAAACACAAAACTGGTACCCTGTGTTTGTCAGTATGACATTTAGTCCTACCCAGAGAAAGGATATACAGTAGAAAGGTGTTACAGAAATGATGACTGGCAAACCAAGCTGCATATTGCAAGGAAAGATTTTGTTAGTCACTGCCAACTTTGTTTTGTTAGTCACTGCCAACCTGAACTACAGGTGGGCATCAAGGAGTCAGACCCCCAGAAAAACCTGTCAAAATCTGAAGAAGCTTGTCTTGATGGTGAGGCTGAAATAGAACCAGAGACGCAGTTTGGTGTCGTGGTTAAGTACGAGGACTCTGATCTGAGAGAACCGGGTTTGATTCCCCATTCCTCCACTTGCACCTACTGGATGACCTTGGGCAAGCCGTAACTCTGATAAGAGCTGTTCTTGAAAAAGAGCAGTTTCTGTCAGAGCTCTCTCAGCCCCACCTACCTCACAGGGTGTCTGTTGTGGGGAGGGGAAGGGAAAGGAGTTTGTAAGCCGCTCTGAGACTCCTTTGGGTAGTAAATCCAATCTCCTCTTCTTCTAGAACATGGTTCTCCTGCAAAGTTCAGTTCCTCCTCCTCTTTTGTGAAGATCTAACGTTCTATTCAAGATTGGGATCTTGAATTTCCAAAAAATTAAGTTTTTTGTGCTTGTCTGGGTAACAACACTTGCTTGTAATAATGGAATCGACTTTTTATGTGTCCTTTAGGTGCTTATTCTGCTCTGTTTGTTGAAGTTCCACAAAACCACAAGCGTTCCATCTGCGATCTGACCCAAGCTGATCGCCTTGCAATCTACAATTATGTCCTCATGGAAACCAGGAACCAGAGATCAAGATCCCAGCTGACAGAAAATGACAGCGACCTCTTTGTCGATTTGGCAGCAAAAGTCAACCAAGGTCTGGGAGAAAAAAATATTACGGCTGTATTTCTTTTTCTTTTTTTAAAATATATATTTATTAGGATTTTATACTAGACAAACACACATATACACAAATCAACAACAAAACATAACTTCACATATCATCTAAATTTCACAACACTTCACATTGATCAAATGGCATAATTTATGAATTTTGGTTACATTACCTAGAATCCTTAGCTAATAAATCATTTTAATTCAGTTTTACTTCTCTGATTTTTCCTGCCCTGTTCCTTTGTATCTAGGCATAGCAGCTGTAATGATTTAACTATTTTAAGGTTCTAGTAATCAGCCGGTCTAAACTATTATACTCAACAGGTCAAATAATTAATCACTATTAAATTCATTTCTATCATTAAGCCAATGAAGCACATTTGCTTTACCATCTTTTTTCCATTCTTATTCCCACTATAAATACCAAAGGCAACTTAATTTATAAAACCAGTCCGCCTAGATATTGATCTTAAATATTAGAGCCACAATACACATTCCTAATTAACTACCTAATATGGACAACTTTAATCTCTTTTGATCATCACCTTGCATTCTCTGTGCAAAATGGGATTACAAACCACCTTGCATTCTCTGTGCAAAATGGGATTACAAACCAGATATATTCCTGTAACATCCCATGTAACCATCTAATCCTATTCTTCTGTTCTCTTATTCATAATGCCTGGTGTTCCCTTATCCCTTATCTAACTGCCCTAACAAATTTACTATATTTAACAGTAAAACATACTCTCTAATCCCAAACCAACTAAAGAATACGAGGGAACGGCTGTATTTCTTTAATAAGTAAGATCCAAAACTGACAGAACATGTGAAGAGAAATTTGGCACTTATGATCTGGAACATTCTTTCCTCTTGTATCCAGTCCTTTTGGGGGTTTTCTTTTGTCTTAAATGTGTGATGATACACCCTTGGATTGATTGTGATAATCATTCCAGCAACCAGTCTTTGTTTGCCGGCCCTTGCTCATGGTTTGATTTTTACATGGGCATGATGGTGTGGGCTGGCAGTAGCCTGTAGTTATTGCACTTGCCTAGCTGCCTGTGGCAAGTAGAAATTGCTTCCACGCTACCAAGTTTAGCATCTGTGATGAAATGGACGCCAGCCTGGTAGTTCCTGACGTGTGTGTGTGGGTTAGGGTCCCTACCTAAACTTCCCAGCATCCCTGAGGGGAAAGAGGAGGAAAAGAGGGACACACCCCAGGGGCGGGGCCAAGGGGAAGGTGGCTTTTTGGCTCCTGAGGGGGAAAAGAGTCAGTCTCAGCCCGGTCTTCAGCATGGAGGGCCGGTTCCAGGGAGAGCGCGGGTGGGGCTCCTGCAAGCCAGAGGCTCCTCCGTGGGCTGTCCAGGCCACCATGGGCCGTGGTGGAGAGCCAGGAGGGGGGCAGGGCTGGTGGCCGGTCCCGAGGAGGAGGGGGAGGGTGGGAGTTTCTCTCCACAACAACAAGGGGGGGGACGCAAATCCGGGCCTGAGGCCGCCACCCACTGCAGGGGTAGAGAGAGAGGGGTGTGTGGGGGTAGGGACAGAGGTATTGCGTTTTCATCCTGTGCCCCAGTTGTGTTGACGTGCCTGTGTGTATTTTCTGTGCCCAATATGTATATAGTTAAATAAACCTTCCTTTTCTGAGTTTAAAAAGCCTGGTGTGCCTTAACCACAGGGTCCTCCCCGCTCTGCACGGTACCAGGGGCAGAGGGAGGCCAGGGAACACAAATGGGCCTAAATCTGAGGGGTTGCCAACTCTCCAGGGGGCGCCCAAGGATTGAGGTGCCCACTTCCCAAGGTGGGGGATTTAGCCAGAGGGGTCTCACTGTCCCTCAAGGAAGGCGGTAACTCAATTCAGTGAGTGGTGGCAGCGTTTAACGGAGAGAAATAGTCCCACCAGGCAGGGTGGGAAGGCCAAAACAGGGGCTTGCGAGCCACAGGACGGCACCTCGGTCTCCCAGGGCCGAGGGCGGGTCCCCGTTTCGCCACAGCATCCATTAAAATGGTGGCTGGGTCAGACACAGCATTCTGCTGTATTTCCCTGGCAAAAGGAGGAGAGGTAGGTAGCCTGCCCTGATTCATTATCTGCAGGATGACGATAATTCTAGTGTTGCTGTTCTGCAAAGTAAAATTACTGGGTTTAATGCAGTCAATACTTTTGTGCTTCAACATCCAATAGATGATGGTCAGAAGGGTCCAAAATCCCATCTTGAAATCCTTGCAGAGATGCGGGATTATAAAAGACGGCGGCAGTCCTATAGAGCTAAAAATGTTCACATCACAAAGAAGTCCTACACAGAGGTGAGTGCTGAGGCTGGGTAGTTTGGGACAGAGCACAAAGTCTTGCAGAGCTCAAAAGTATTTTTTAGTTTGCATAACATTTCCACATTAAAAGATACTTAGATTGGCAAAATCATGAATAAATAGTTACTATTTTCCAGGGAAATGTTCCTATTTGCTGTGTTGCTCATGCACAAGGGCTCACACCTCTGGCCACCTCCAAGCTTTATAGACTTCCTGTCCAGCTATGCCTCTGCATTATTCTAATAGTAAAGCAGCTGACTCATGCACCCGATCTGTCCCAAAATTAGCAAAACCAGACTACCCAGAGACTTGTAGTGTAATCCTAAACAGAGTTACTCCGGTCTAAACTAATTGAAATATATGGGCTTAGACTGGAGTAACTTTTCTTGGGATTACGCTGCAAGTCAGGGAGTCTCTACATCCTTGGGGTGGTTTTTAAGTATGCAGAAAAGTGTGTAAATTAACGGGGGGGGAGAGACAACAGAATGCTCCAGGAGCATGGAATGTTGAGTACTTGCGTCAGTTAAAAAGGGTGAAGTGGTGAAATTAGCCTGCTCAGTCCCCTGAGAGGATGTATTATGCTGGGATGTCTGGGAGGTGGGGATTCCAAATTGCTCCTCCCTTTCTCAATTCCTCTTGTCCCAGCTAATTTCAGTGTCGGTAATCTCTGCCCAGGTGATCCGGGATGTAATCGGGGTGCACATGGAAGAACTTGCCACACATTGGCAGGAAGAAAACAAGAACCTAAAAGGTTGTGAAGATGGAAGATCATCCTTCTCAGCAGAACCTTCAGGAAGGTAAAAATCAGCACCCTAAACGCTTTCCTTCTTGCATGTATACCAGTGCTCTCAGAATTGGCAGTAGCATCATTTGTGATGGGTTAGTAGCATAACCCCACATAGAGTATGCTGCCACTGTTTCATAGAATCGACTGAGTGATAATGTATGTAATGGACAGGTATTGTACAAACAACCACCATGAGCCTCCTGCCTGAATGGACTCTGCCTGCCACCCCATTTCCAGCCCACTTCTGCTGGGCTGCTGTTAGCCAAGGTGGGCAGGCATGAAGGCAGCCTGGGACAGAGTCCAGGTGGACAAAGCAGCCGTCTTCACCAGGGCAGCAAGGAAGGAAGGTCTCGGAATGGCAGGCACCCACTGTACTTCTCCATGGAACAATGCCCTGCCACTTTTTATAATCCGACTCTTTCGAAAGCTATACAATTCTGCCTGAAAACATTCCTCTTACTGACACCTAGTCTTCTTCACCAGGGGGAAAAATCAGCCAGCACAACTGTTTCTGTCTTCTGCTGCTAGGCTCCCCACCCCCAATTATATGAGGAGCTAACCTGGCATACTAGGAGGGGGAAACCTGTTTCAGGGGAGGGGCAATCAGGCACCATGCAGGGATTTGTCTGGCTGTAAGAAGAAGAGTTGGATTTATACCCCACCTTTCACTTGGAATCTCAGAGCAGTTTACAATCTCCTTCCCTTCCTCTCCCCACAACAGACACCCTGTGAGGGAGGCGGGGCTGAGAGAGAGAACTGTGACTGACCCAAGGTCATACAGCTGGCTTGCATATGGAGGAGTGGGGAATTGAACCTGGTTCTCCAGATTAGAGTATGCCGCTCTTAACCACTACACCAAACTGACCTGGATGGCACAGGCCAGCTCGGTCTCATTAGATCTCAGGAGCTAAGCAGGGTTGGCCCCGGCTGGCTTCCCAGCCGAGGAAGTCCAGGCCGGCCAGCCATGACAAACCACCTCTGAGGGTCTCTTGCCTTGGAAGTCCTCTGGGATTACCATAAATCAGCCGCAACTTGACAGTACTTTCCACCACCATACGAAGGCATCAATAATAGTGTAGGCATAATTCCAAAATGTTTATTTTTTGTCTTGTTTTTTACTGATCATACAAGAAGTAGAGGAGGCCAGATACTGTTCTTGAGTTAAGTGATTTGCACCCTTTGTAAAAATCTGCAATAGCTGGATAAAAGTTATGTTTCCTTTTCTTTAGAAAGGAGGAGCGCAGGTCGGCATCAACGGATTCCAGACAGTCCTGTGGAAGCAGAGGCAGGAAGGGTCCCAGCAGGAGTCCAGGCAAGCAAAAAAGAAGTCAGGACAAAGAGAGAGACGGGGGTCCCCGAAGGAGGAGGGAGAGGTATGTCACCTCATTGGTTTCTTCGTCTTGGTGAAGTGTTATGGTGCTTATGCGCCTCTGTGGATTAATTCTTGTTAAAAGGTTCTGAAAACGGCTGGCCTGGAAATAACGTGACGTCCTCCATAAGCAGAACTCAATCACTGGTTTAGTATTAAAGAAACACATTCTGTTCTTTTCGTACTCCTCCTATGTGTTCTTTTATTCAGGTACTCTAGTTTTAATATTCCTTATGCCCCAAATCCCATCTTTAAAACAATGATACTTACAGTGACTCAGATTGTAATTTTAAAAATGGAATTAAGTCTTGCTTATAATACAAAGCTGGGAGGGAAGGTGGCGCGGTGTAGCCTGATCGTGTCAGATTCCGGAAGCTCAGCAGGGTCAGTCCTTGGAACGGAGACCACCAAGGAAGGCTCCGCAGAGGAAGGCCACGGCAAGCCACCCTCTGCTGCTTCTCACTTGCCTGGAAAGCCCCTTGCTGGGGGCGCCATCAGTTGGCTGCGACTTGACGGCACTTCACACACACACAAACACACACACACACACACACACAACAAAGCTATCATTGTGCCGGGTTGGTGTCTAGGGTCTATGATAACTTCCAAGGTCAATTCTTACCATAGTATCAGTGACAGACCAAAATGTAGGGATTTGTCTTCCTTCAATTCAAAACCTTCTGGAGGTATCAGTAACAATACATTACTGAATGGCTAGCACCTCTGGACCTTAACTGACCTGCCAGCAAAGCAGCTGTTGTGATTTAATAAGGTTCACTACCTGCCCTGATCCAGTTAATTTCAGGGCCCTTTTAGGGATACTTTTGATTTGTTTAGTGCTCTCTTCCAATCAACTCATTCATTGTTGTAATAATAATAATAATACAACATCATGTGATGCACAAGGAACACGAAGAAGTGATGCAATGATATAAAACCAAAAAAACATATATAGGTTTTAGGTTTTTTTCTTGGAGCAAAGTAGAGGTAAGAAGGGTGGAACAGCTCACTTTTAATTGCGGAGCACCTTGTAAATTAATAGCAAAAACTTGAGAAAGGTGTCTGCCCCAAAGAACTTGCAGTGACATCCCAAGCAGAGTTCAACCCTTCTAACTCCAATGAAGCCGATGGGTTTAAAATGGCACTCTCAGTCTCCCCCCCTCCCCCCAGCCTGTGGATATGAACACGTCCAGTTGCCTGTATGGCTTCATTTCAGTGTGGATTAAGACAAGTGTTCAGGCAAAGTCTTCAAAGAGCCCATCCATTGGAGGCATAAAAGTCTTAAGATAATGGCGTGCTTCTTTTATTATAGGGATGAAGACAAGCATCACAGCCACAAGAGAAGAAAATAAGAAAACTTATTAGAATGAGGAGAACAATGTGGATAATAAAAGATCAGCTGTCTGCTTCATCCCAAGGACGTCACTTCCACCAGCAGTGAGGAGGACTGTGGTCACATCCTTCAATAAACGCACCCCTGTATCCTTTCTACTGCAGCACACCCTGGAGTGCTGAAGGAGACTCCCGCTTAGACCGAACAGACTGACTTGCTGTGATCAGAGAAATTAGCAGCACTGCAAATACTTTTCATGAATCCACAGATGAAGTGCAACCATAGAGGATATCCTGAAGGTGCAGCTGATTGTGCCCTGACCTCTAGAACTCCATGTGGATCAGTTAACCCCAGATTCCTTTTTCTGTAGCTTGCCCATCTCATGATGGCACCCTGAGCAAGCGGCACATGAAAGCTTCTACCCAGAATTAAACTTTGTTGGTCTTAAAGGTGCCACTGGACTCAAACTTTGTTCTGTTGCTTCAAACCAACACAGCTACCCACCTGAATCAGCTTTATTTTTGTGAAACAGAGAAAAATCCTGGCCTCTGTTGTGTATAGTTATTTGAGTTGGCAACCCTCTCTCCTTCACACCAAACAGCCAACCTACCTCTATCTGCCCCCATCTTAAGCTTTCCCTCTCCCTGCTTAGCAGCTTCTGCCTAGGAAAACTGATCCAGTTGTGCCGTGACACAGTTCCCTGCCCTGTTTGCTCTTTCTCATCCATTCACCAACCTACATTTTATCTATCTCCCATCTTCAGCGAATGTATTATTTTCTTCATTTATACCCTTCCTCTCCCCGCACTGGGGACATTAGTCTCCTCCCCTCCTATTTATGCACACAAGAAGCCTGTGAGGTAGGCTAGGCTGAGAGTATAGGACTGGTCCAAAATCACCCAGTGAGCCAATCCAGACTTTCGCCAGGAGTTCCGTGTTTGGAACTCTCAGCGGTTTTTCAAAAAAACTGGTGGCCGCTCGGCAGAGTCAGCAGCAGTGGGCCCACAAGACTTGAGGGCTCGTCCGTGGTGCGAGGGCTGTCCCTGCTGTTGGCAGCGGCACTCTCCTCCCCCCTCGGTTGCAGCCGGGGCTGCCCACGGACCTGGAAGGACAAGATCCCCATCAAAACCACCACCATAAGGAGAAAAGGATAAATCCGACATTGCACAAGGTTTTGCATTTCAGCAGTGACTCCTATGAAAACAAGATAAGAAGAGAGCTGACAATCTATACATAAGAACTAAACCTTTATATTTCAAATACTATCCTGTAATAGAGTTAAAATGCAAAAAAAATTACTGGAAAATTGTTTCCTTATTAACAACGAAAAGGGCCAAAAACGTACCACCAAAGGATACTATAGCAGTTTGTGCACTGTCGCAGCAATTATGGTAATACGTTCCTATTAAGACAAATGGTTAGTTGGATGTTTCTCTAGTTACACTTTACGTATTCCAAAATTTAAGTGTTTGCAGGTAAAACATTGTTGCTAAAATACTGTTAACCAAGATGTTCTTGGCAATAAAATCAAGACGACAACATGGTTAAGCTGGGATTTTCAAAAAGCCAGAAACAAGTCTGGTCAAACACCTTGTTATGCCAGAGCACAAAAAACCTCAACACATCTTTGTCTTAAGAATTCCACCAATTAAATCCAAGTTAATTTAATTAACTTTGATTTAATTGGCTAGTGGCCCCCCAAGCCTCCTCCCCAAAAACTCCTTAGCTACGGGGCTACCTGAGTGGGATCTGGCTCCTGGAAACTCTGTGTATATATATCCACAAAGCACATTAAGGAGCTGCAGCCCAGAAGAAAACGGGTGGAAGTACATCGGACCTTTTAAGGTTACTCATGTTATTAACAAAGTAGCTGTTGAAGTTGAACTGCCTAAATCGCTTCGCTCTTTGCACCTTGTGTTTCATTTCAGCCTCCTGAAAAGGGAATTTTGAAAATGCATTTTGAAAATCCCAGCTAACCGTGTTGTTGTCTTGATTTTATTGCCAAGAACATCTTGGTTAACAGTATTTTAGCAACAATGTTTTACCTGCAAACACTTAAATAGACCTTTTGGAATATGTAAAGTGTAACTAGAGAGAAACATCCAACTAACCATTTTGTCTTAATAGGCATCCTCCATGGATCATTCCATTTAAATATATTTAAATGGAATGATCCATGGAGGATGCCTTGCATGCCAAAGTTTACAAAGCCAAAAGGCAAGTGCCGGCAATGTTCCTTAGGCAAGTTTGCATTTTGTGATTACACTGCAAAGTACAGCATTCAGCATCCCGTGAATCTCAGGTGTGTGTTTAAAGCAATTTCCCAGCTTTTAAAGGAAATATGAGGGTGATGGATGCTGACATCTCATGAACACATGAAGCTGCCTAGTCTGAAAGTGGCTCTACTGAGGTCAGTGTTGTCTGTTCTAACCAGAAGCTGCTCTCCAGAGTTTCAGGTAGAGGTCTCAAATGGGAGGGTGAGTTAAAAGTGGAATTTCAGTGCCTATCTAATCCTTTCCTCTTCAGAAGCGCAACAAATGGACTCAGAATGAGTTTTCTTAATTGATACACAGTTGACAGAATTCAGCTTCATGTGGTTCATTTAGTTTTTCATTTCTTAAACATAGAATGTGCACAGTGTGAGCCGTGGGCTACCACATGCCTTCTATCAAAGTCATCTTAAAACAGAAGCAACGAGAAAACAAGTGCCAAGGCTTTTTTCTTAACAAACTTTAATATTCTTTGAAGACTAGGTTGCTTGGGATAAAAACACAAAATTACAAGTGCTGCATTTACTGCAAAATGCCACAGGAAGAAGCACAGCAGTGTTGGCAAGCAATATCCCAGTGGTAAGACTGCTTCAAATTATTTGTTTCTTTTACAAACTCAAAACTGTCAAGGACAGATATTTTTTTGTGCAGTTGAAATGCCTGTTTCCAGAAAATGCACTGGGAGTGGGAAGAGATTATTTTGTGTTGAAACATATAACATGATCAATTGCATTAACAGTTGCATCTCCAAAAAAAAAAGAATTCCGAGCAATGAAAAATTCTAAGTCAAGATCTACATACCAGTGAGTTAGATGTGTTTTGGCCATCTTGTCATGAACAACTCTGTCAAAAATAAACCTCAAGATTATCAACCCATTTACAGCCCAGAATGCCAAAAAAATGAGGTAATGCTGCAAAGTATCAATGGCTGACTTCTGGTTAGACAGTCCCACCTCTAATACACACAAGCCGAACACTTGAGTGTAGATTGTCGGGAACCTAGACTCTAATTTCCCCTGCAAAATCCAATTTTAACCAAATGTTGAACCAAACAGCTCTCAACATTTCTATGCTTTCTTTCCCACACACACAGACAGAAGACGCAAGACAAACTCCTTGGGATTCTATTCAGTACAAACATACTTAACTACATGATATCCAGGGGCACGGTCCTGAGTGGCCATGCAGCTGCATCATGTCAAAGTGACTTAATACAATAATCCTGAACATTCTGCTTCTGAACAGGATAGTACACATTTTCAGCACACAACTGAACTATACTTAAAGCTTTCCAATTGTTGACGTTAAAAATGCGTTTCCATGGATGGGAAATAGGCCTACATACATATAAAATATCAAAAGTCAGTAAACTTGATTTGGTGGCTCTTGCTTGGTGCTATTAATGAAAATATAACTTTCCCCCCCTTTTGGTTCTCTCTTCCTGTTGGTAATACTATATATGTTCTTTTTTCACAGACAATTACTAATTTTACTAATTAAGTAAAAGCCTCTAGCATTACTGCTATCGAGAATTAATGCTGACCATTTCTAGAACTACAGATGTTTACTTTTAATGTGACATGGTTAAAAAAAAGTCCATAGTAAATTTTAGAGGTTTGACTGTAACTTCAAAAGTTTCAGGACGTTTGGGGAGGGGGGATCTTTCATTGCACATTTGAACTCTGTTTTCTCTGTACTCTTGAAGAACTATGTCAGCTCACCTTTTGTCCTCTGTTTTCTAAAGTAAATAATTCCCTGTGAACATTTAAACTACTTTCAAAGATGCAAAGGAAATAGTCTTATGCACTGGGAACTCATTCTTCTCACAAACCTTTCCATTAGAAGATTTAAGTAGTCCTTTCACCTAGCTCTAATAAACTTTGACGTAGTGCTCTGAAATTAAAAATCTGTCTTCTAGGACCAAGAAATTTAAAGCGTCAGAACTGTACAAGCAATGTCAAAATTGTCTGAAGGAGAAATATTTGTCTTGATCTACCAGTTGCTGTGCAATATTAAAAAACTTAGAAACATGGAAAACAAATTATCAGGCAATAGAAATGTACAACAGTTTCAATGCTTTACAAAATGATTTTAAAAAACTAAGAAACAGCTCTTATTCTTGCTACAGCCATCTTGTTCATCCATCCTTGGTGAGCCCCCAGCTGTTCCAAAACTGTGTTTTATGAATGGCCAACCACCATCATAAGGACAGGCCCCATTCTCTCTGTTAAGAAACCTGCTCTCTGCTGTCCTGCATCGTGGCACATTTGTCAACGGAACAGCAGTCCAAAATATAAAGTGACAACTAGATTTAATAAATTAATATTCTTTTAAAGATGTACAATGGACATTCATTTTTAATCCAAGGATTTAGGGTATTGGGGTATTGCTATTTACACATTTACAGATCTCAGGACTGACAAACTTCAGAAAATGCAGATAAAAAGGTGCATGGCCTCAACTGCTATCTGAATGCCATCAGAAGCAAAACATGAAAAGATTAAAAAAAAACTGCTGAGAGGCTTGTGGAGAAAGACCCAAAGAATAAAGACCAGTCTACGAAAAAGGACACCAAGGCAAGGGAAGATCAAGTGACTCCATGGGACCATTTTTATTCTTGCGAAGACTGAGGTGGCGGCGGCGATGTCCCTTGTCTACCAGCTTTTCGCTCATAATTCACGAGTCGCTGCCCAACAAGATACCTAGGATTTAAAAGTTTTTAAGAAGTGATTGTTGCTTACAATGGGTTTTGTTTCTTTCATTCTTTTTGTGTCATCACTAGACTGAACAGAGAAAGTTGCTGTGACTACCTCTTCTCTGGGGAGGTCTGGTTTTCCTTTAAACGTGTTCTTATGTTTTATTTTACTTTGGGTATCCGGCTGCCACCAGGAAATTTTATTAGGCTTTCCAAACCTTTTACTATAATATTCCTATCACAGGGTAGGTGGATCGAGAGTTTAGGCGTTCAAGGAACTATGTGTTTCCTGAGGAATAATGGATCAGGCTTCTGGGATAAACTTAAATAAAAAGGATTTATTTGAAGAGGAACAAAACTAAAGGTTGGATATTATGTAACTGGCTGGGAATAAGGTTCTTGTAACTATATTTGTCAACTGTATCACACACACTTGTCAGTTTTAGTGCTGACAGGAATCTCTTAGGCAACCACACAGTTTAATCTCTTTGTAAATTTAACTGCTTTCAGAACTTTAAAGATTCCTTATTGAAGATATATGCTGCGCTCTCTCTCAGATATCACACAGAACAAATTCATCCCACACAGGAATGCTTCTATCTCAGACCTCAGAACAAAACTCATCTCAACTGCTTTTACACAGCACTCTCTGCTGACTCTACTGTTTTTCTGTTCTCATCAACTGACAATCTCCAACAGTCACTCCTGATAAGACATTCAAATCATCCACACAGCATCCATTCCAAAACCCCTCCCCCTCTCTGTCACTCACCAATCACACCACTTGCCTGTTTCAACCACACTACTTTCACACAGCAATGTAAACCAAACTTTTAAAGACACACACACAAATAAACATGAAATCGTTACAGTTGCTTTCTTTACTGGTGCTTAAATTTACTTATAACAGTTGATGCTAACAACAGATACAGTGAAAAATTATTTAAAAGCTCCTTCTATAAAAGGGTGTATGGAACGTTTGGTCAATATCAAACATTTTTATTCATAACCCTTTATCAGTCAACCTTTCCAATTTCCCAGTACCGAGTATGGACAGGACCAATACCACACAGTGCCCATCATCACCCCAGCACTCCTCTCTTTTCAAAAGGTTCTGATAGTGTGTTTCCCAACCTGTAGGCGGGAGCCTAAAAGTGGGCAGCGAAGCCTCCCAAAGCGGACTCCGTGGTCAGCCCTTCCCAGGTGTTGTTCCTGCCTTTTGCATCCTTCTCTTTCCAACCACTCACATTTTCATCTTCCTCTCCTTTGTGACAATAATAAGGGGGGGGGGGGACCACCTGGCAATTAGTGACTTCATGGTAATAGCTGAAAGAAGGGAGGGAAAGGTTGGAAAGTGGGTAGGAGCTGTTCAGCAAGCCATGTGGAAACCAGCAGTGGATAGAAAGAGGCTGCGGGCTCAGGGCTGCTCCGTCTTTTGCCAGCCCCCCTGTAATGCCTCACTGGCCTCTGCCTGCTGTGGGAAATGTCCTGCACCAAGCCCCTTGCCGCCAACTTCTTCACCACCATCTTCTCATATCGCCTCAATCCAGTCACCTCCAAGTGCACCTCCTCAAACTCCAACTCTGGACCACCTGACAGGAGGAGGAGACGAACTCCCACTTGCTTGGGGCTCACAGTGGGGGCAGCTGTACCCTACGTGTGGTGCTTACTGGTTCCTCAAAAGCATCGGGTTGGGTACTACAGAGAATGGGAGTGCTGGAATAGATGGGAGACAAGGTCATAGTTCACCCAGAACCCCCAAAACAGCCTTGGGTCAGCCCTGGATGGGTCACTGTAGAAAGGACTTGGGGGGGGGGGGGTCACCATACCGAAAAGGCTGGGAAATCAGTGTTGCACTTACCTGTATCTGTTGTTCATCGAGGTGTCTTGTGTGCAGGCACACATTGGGACTGCGCTTGCACAGGCCAGCCACTGGAGGCTCTCTACGGCTATTCTAGCAAATTTTTAATAATCCAAGGGGAGCCCCTCCCCTGCAGAGCCCATCAGGGACCATTTTCCCGCTCATACAGTCACACGCTCTGCTGGGAAGGAGGCCCCCCCCCCTTTCCCTCAGTCCTCTTGAGCCACTGGGAGTGTCCCAACAGTAGTCTATCTATTAACTCACAGCAGGGTAGGAAGGAGGGAATGTGCGCCTGCACAGAAGACACCTCAATGAACAAAAGTTACAGGAAAGTGCAACATTGCTTCCATCTTCAGTCTTCTGTGCAGTCCCACATTGGGAGACTATAAAGCTCCTTACAACTTGGAGGTGGGGTGAGTCTCCGTGGAACAAGAAATGCAATACCACTCTGCCAACTGCTGAGTCTCGTCTTGCATTCACATCCACAGAATGATGCCTGACGAAGGTGTCTGCTGCCAACCATGTCACTGCATGGCAGATGTCCTCTCAGGGAGTGCCTCTTCAGAACACTGCAGATGATGCTTGAGCCTGTGTCGAGTGTGCTCAGTCTTCTAGCAGACACAGTAAAGTGGCCTTCTCGTAACCTATACGAATAGCTGACATGATCCGCCTAGAGATCATCTGTGCCACTGGTTCCCAAAGTGGACAATATCGCCCTCTCGGGTGTGCTGGAACAATCCAGGTGCAGATCCACAAACTGCACCTTTCTGTCCACTTCTTGAAGGTAGATTTCTAGGGGGGCGCTGAGTAATCTTTTTTCTGAAAAGGGGGTGGTAGGCCAAATAAGTTTGGGAACCCCTGTTATGTAGAAGCTGGCTTTCTATGAATTCCCAGAAAAACTGAGTCTTTGAAGCCACCTGCAGACTTTTGTTCTAAGTAAAACAATAAAGTCCTTTTGATGTCCAATGCATGCAGTGTCTCTTATGCCTCTGAAGCAGGGGGTGAAAAATATACCGGAAGAGCTATGGCCTGTGCTAGGTGGAAATCTGAAAGCACTTTATGTAGAAATTATAAACTAGGCCTTAGTACTACGTGACCTGTCTGAAATTTAGTAAACGGGTGATCAGTCCTGAGTGCCGCCAGTTCCCCAACCCTCCTGGCCTGATGTGATGGCAACCAAAAACGCTACTTCAAATGACAAAAACCCTAAATTACAGGAACCTAGTGATTCAAGTGGGGCCAGCATAAGTACCACAGATAAGGACCACTGTGGAACTATGGGTGGACATGGAGGGAATAAATTAAATAACCCCTTTAAAAACGTTTTGGAAGTGAGGTGTAAAAATAGTGACCTGTCCTGGATCTTGACGTGATAAGCTGAAATGGCCGTTTAGTGCACCTCGGGGGAGGACACTGCCACGCCAGACTCTTTTAGCAAGAGCAAATACTCAAAAACCAGGGCAACAGGACAACCCTCTGCCTGAGCACCATGTCTTCTAGCCCAATCAATAAAACAAACCCATTTGTGGAGCATGGAACTCTTGCAAAGCAGATCCACTACTAGAGGCAGGTGTACATAAATTCCTCTGGATAACTCCAGGAGGAGCTGGAACCAGGCCCTTCTGGGCCAGAAAGGTGTGATGGCCATTAGTCTATTCCCAAAGGCTCTATTTTGGTTTTCTGGTAGTTGATAGTGAGAAATTCACTTTTACAATAGGAGGAGAGCTTCCTAAGAGCTTTCCTAAGACCTATCAGAGTTCTTGAAAGTAAAACTGTATCATCAGTATATAGAAGCACTGATACAGGCCTATTGGCAAGTTTAGGGGGATGGCGTCCAGGGATACAAGCTGTGGCTGGTTGGCTTAGGCTGAGTCGGCTGAAACTGAATCCGACAAAGACGGAGGTCCTGTGCTTGAGTTGGGGCGGTTCGGGGGTAGGGATCCCACTCCTGGTCTTCGATGGGGCGCCGTTGGTGCCAGCGCCAGAGGTTAGGAGTTTGGGAGTGCTCCTGGACGCCTCCTTAACGATGGAGGCCCAGGTAGCTGCCACTGCCTGGTTGGCCTTTTACCATCTCCGGCTGACTAGGCAGTTGGTTCCCTTCCTCGACTGTGCCGACCTAGCAATAGTGATCCATGCGATGGTCACCTTGAGATTAGACTACTGTAACGCTCTCTACATGGGGCTGCCCTTGTCACAGATTCGGAGGCCGCAGCTGGTGCAGAACGCCGCAGGCAGGCTTCTGATGGGTCTCCCCAAGTGGGCGCACATCCAGCCTGTGCTGAGGACGCTGCACTGGCTGCCAACAGCATACCGAATTTGCTTCAAGGTGCTGGTTCTTACCTTTAGAGCCCTATATGGCCAGGGTCCGACATACCTGCAGGACCGCCTTTCCCCATATATGCCCCAGAGAGCACTACGGTCGGGGTCTCAAAACCGACTGGCTCTCCCTGGCCCTGAAGAGGCCAGGCTCGCTACCACCAGGGCCAGGGCTTTCTCAGTGGCGGCCCCGTCCTGATGGAATGAGCTCCCTGAGGAGATCAGGGCCTAGCGGGATCTTTTACGGTTCCCCAGGGCCTGCGAGACGGAGCTCTTCCGCCAGGCTTTCAGCTAGGGAGCCGCCACCACTAGAGAGCCTTGGTCTTTGACACCTAGCCTGTGCCGCAGGAACAGCAGGAGCAGAAGGACACCTACACCTCTGAAAGTACACCGTGAGAGTCAGCCATCCTGAACAACGAAATAACCAGCACTTTATTAATTTGTATTGGCTATAATGGGATTGTAGTAGCTATAAGGGAATTGTTTTTAGATGATTTTATGTCTTTTAATTGTATTTATGCTTTGATTGTTAGCCACTCTGAGCCCGCATTGCAGGGAGGGTGGGGTACAAATTAAATAAATAAATATATTGAGCCAGCTAGACAATTTATATAGAAAACTAGCCTGCTACTCGTGCTTCACTACGGTATTTAAGTTCCATAAATCCAGTTATAATACTGATGATGTGAGATTTGAAATGTGACATTTGTTGTAGGAATTCTGTATACTTTTTATTAGGTTTTCATATCTAAATACATATTAAAAGCTAACAACAAAGCTTCAAAAAGATTTGTAACAATAGTAAAAACAAGTAAGCAACAGTTTACGAC